AAAGCAGATTCTATATGTGTGTAAGTATCAATGGTCCACTTAGAAATTTGGGTACTTTAGGGGCAGAAAAGCCTACTTTCACATTGTTGCTCTACTGAAGAGCAAACACTTTAAAATTAAAGCATACGTTGGGAACCGATGGCTCTCTAGATGTTGGTAGACTGCAAACACCCACCCTATCACTGACCATGCAGGCTGGGGCAAATGGAGCTGGAAGTCCAACCACATCTGGAGGGCTTCAGGTTCATCTGCCCTGGGTTAGAGACCATTTGTCCTGTTCTGCTGGGGCTTGGAGACCACAGGCAAAGTGAAAATCAATGCCAGAGCCACCAGCTCTGTTCCACTCCACTCCAGCCCAGCAGGATGAGGGAAATCAGAACCCTGGGCAGCTCCCAGGGGCTCTGCTGGCTGGGTTTTGCAAAGGTTTGGAGCCTTTAAAAGATTGGCAGGGTTTGACATTGCAATGGCTTTGCCACACCTGCCCCCCTTTTGCAATATTTAAAGGGGAAATGGCTCATCTAGGGCAGTTTATTCAGTTTCCCCATAGTTTCCCTAACTGATCTTTTCCACATTGCACTTGAGCTTTCTCAGGATGTAAAAGCCACTTCTAGAAATATAGTGGAAAACAGCACAAGTTTAGCACTCTTTCCATGTTATTTGGACCCAGAAAAAAACACACAACTGTTTCCAAATGACATGGAAATGAGCACTAAATGTTTCAGTTAGACATGTGAATACAGCCCATGTGAATACAGTCAGGAAGTAAATGAGAGGGGCTTGTGTGGCCTGTGAAGAATCCACGATCCAGAACTCACCACAAACACTGCAAGCATAACTTTTCAGGCTTTCATAAAATATTGTTTGCAACATACTAAAAGTAGTAGGAAACCTCAAAAACAAGCCAGACTTCCAAACAGAGAGTCATCCATAGGGAGGGAGGAAATGCATCTTTATACAAGTTGTCACTTTTATGCCACAAATGTTGGACGCAGCTACATAAGGAGAGGTGGGCTAGTAACTTTTCTGGATTTATTTGCAAGGCTGAAACAAGAGATATGTAGAAACCCTACATGGGATGGCTCTCTTATGAAAAGCTTGTGTACACCATCACCTTAAAACAAAACAAAACAGGCCAATAACTTCAAATTCACAATTCACTGGAAGTATAAAGGCAAGATCTGATTGCATGAAATAATAGCCCTCTTTAGATAGGATTCCTGCGAACAGGGCAAGTGTGGCACAAAGCGCTTGCTTCAGCCTACCATGGCTCTACTTGCCATTGCTGTTTGGGACTATAACTTTGAAAAAAGGGAGCCTGCTCTACACATGGGGACTCCACAGTTTGGGAAACTGATCATGAAGGATTCTAAATTGCACAGGAAGTCCTCAAATGTAGAGCAGATGTCATGCTTCAGAAGTCATAGTCCAATGCAGCAACAACCGGAGTTGCACAGGTTTGGGGGTGGGGGCAGCTAAACGCAGCCACGTTTACCCCACTAATCATCTTCTTGAAGGCAACCCCTGAATACGTATTTAAAAGCATTTCCTTTCCACTTTTTAATAAGTTAATGGATGCATTGAGCAGCGAAATAATTTCACATGGGATTTCACAAAGAAGAAAATAACGTACAACCTAAAGAGTTTTCTGATGTATTCCTTGGCAACTCCCAAACAGTTCGGGGGGTGTGTGATCATTCAGTGGTGATGTTTCTTTCTCCCACCTGCAAACTGTACTGCAAACTCTTCATTTGATTCTGCCTCTTTTTCTAGCCAGTTGCTCGCTGGGAAGCACGCAACGAACCGGCACTAAATAACTTAGTGAAACATGTAAAATAGCAGGCGAACATCTGTTGTCCACCCCGAAACAATGCCAATACAACCAATACAATGCCTTCTTTCCCGCTAGCTCACTGAAACGCCTTCTTCAATGAAACCGTGGAACCCAAGGGTTAACTGCTTTCTTGGTGAATGGGGTCTTTTGCTTTCGGCTATGCAGCTAAACAAAAGAGGAGGCAACTGGTGCCTGGCACACAAGGAGGTATATTCATCCATGCTCACGTGTAGTCCACACCACAAGTCTGTGATGAGGGCTCCACAAAGCCAGAAGGTGAAATGCGCCAGCTGCTGTCTACCAAACTAATGCCTGAAAGGGCAGAGGAAAGGGCATGCTTTGAAGAGGTATAAATTGCCTTGGTATTTTCTAGCATTTCACACTGAACCACACTGAATGCTTTGTGGATGTGGTTTTGCCCCCCCCCCCCCTTAAGCACTTCAAAGTCTTTAGAGGTGCGCACAACAATTTAAAAAGATTAGGTCACCATTAAAACCTACTGACTCAGGATCTTGTCTTATCTGGCCTGAAGGCAAAGAAGCTTACTGAATCCTTTATTTGATGTCAATGTCATGAACAACACAGAGAAAGGGAGGGAACTGCAGTTTGTCTTTAAGGGCAAAGCTACATTCGGTTCAAACTTAACGGAAAACAAAGTAATCTCTCCCCTCTGGAATGCAGTTGGAGAGAAAAAGTTCTGAACATCTGGAAGGATATGAAAGAAGCAACTCTACCCTTTTCCTTGAAGCTCTCAGATAATGATAGCACAGTTTTATATAGAACAGTAATATAGAGAGATAGAGAGATAGATTGAACTCCTACTCATTTGATGGTTTCCAAAACAGGCTGCTTATTGCTGGAATGAGACTAGGCAGAAACTGAAAGACCTGGAAATAATATCTAAGGGTAGAGCCCTGCCTCAATTCATGACAGGAACATAGGGACATAGGAAGCTCCCTTATAACTGGTCCATCCAACTCAGTATTGTTCCCATTGCCTGGCAGTAGCTCTCCAGAATCTCCAGTGGAAGTATTTCCCAGTCTTATCTGGAAGGTCAGAGACTTCTACAACTTTGTTAGGGCCCATCCCCAAAAGGATTACTACATTCCTCCCCTCTGGGTGCAATTCAGAGATCTCCTTTCCCTCACTGGAGAATGGCTTCCTTCAGAAACTGGCTTCTCTTGAGGACAGCTCTGTACCTCTAGCTTACTGGCTAGGTGACCTTGCAGAGGGCCTAAAGTCCTCACTGTCTAAAACCTCAGTAACAACTCCAGGACTTTGTACTTTTGGATGCTCCTTCTTCTCACATAATGGCTCAGACACAGGCACACCAGTTTGTATGTGGATGTTGGTCTTCAAGTTGCCAGGCTGTCTGGCCATCAGTTTCAACAAATTTGGGGGAAGAAAAGCCCTTGTTGGATCTTGTATCCTACCTGGAATCTCGCGGTTGCAACAAACTTCTCTAGAGGGAGCATATTTTACCCTATCATGGTCAGATTACTAGAGACAGCTTGCCATATAGATGTCCAAACAGCAAGGGGAGCTGGTGCAGAAGAGTGGGGTGGGGGAGCAACCCTCACACTAAGCCTTTATACCATTTTCTTAAGGTCTATTGTTAAACTGAAGACTCCTTGTCTTTTCAAATTCCTTCATGTGAATGGATGAGGCAAGACATCTGCCAGGGTGCATTCCCATTTGCATGCAAATCAGAGATTTAGGGGGACACACAGCACCAGCCTCCTCCTCCCCATGAGAAATGGGAATCACAGAAACTTCAGCCTGGTACTTTTCCCATTGCCTGTGCCTTAGCAGCTCAATGCAGCAAGTCCATTAAAAATCAGAAGGAAGTAAAAAAGAAAGAAAGAGGACAAAGTTAAGTAGTAAAGTGTTTCTTAAGAGCAAGACAGAGGAAGGTAACAGAAGTCATTCAGGCATCAGAGGATATTCCAGAAAACATCTTCTTGACTTTGACTAATTTCACACACATGCTTTTCTTCTTCTTTTTCTAAAGAAGAAGCCTCCCCTGGAGGGTACACAAACACAGTCCCAAAGTCATGAAATAATCACTGGGCATAACTTTCCTGACAGCAACCAGCTCCCCAATGCAGAGCATGACAATTGCAGATTAAGCACATGCATCCCACTGAAGTGCTTCAAGCCTCTGCAGAAAAAGACAAGGCGGGGAAAGAGTTTCATGCTTTGGCTGAAACCACAAACTAGCAAACTGTCTGGCTCAGGGAAGATTTTTTTTTGGGGGGGGTGCAGATTTTCATCATAGCTGCTACCAGCCAGCATCCTCTTCACCCTCCTGCCTTGGGAGAGGACAAAGGACACTAGCTGGCAAACTTTCCATACTTGGTCTGCCTGGGCTAGATGAGAGACGGCAACAGCAACACACACACACACACACCCTTTTTAGTCTTCTAGCCAGCTGGATGGAGGCAGTGAGCCTTTGGAATCAGCACACCTATTGCAAAAAAGAACAGCAGCTAACACCCAACTGCTCCCTTCCTCCCCCCCTTAAACCAGGTTAGATCGACCTTTGTTTCTTCTTTCTAGGGTCTCCAACTGCAAGTCAACACTTAAGAAAAAGAAATTTTGGGGCAAGGGGGAGGGGAGAGAAGACAATCATCCCTTGTTTACCCTCCTTTCCCCTTCTAACCATGGCCAGAAATCCAGGGCCAGAGGGCAGGGTGCTGTTTGCTCCATCTGTTTTGCCCATTGCTTATCAGCCTTCTGGACGCTCTCCGCTAGGCAACGCTCTCTAAGCGTCCCAATTCCCTGCGCAGCCTTTCCAAACAAAAGCAATCCCTGCTAGGTGACATCTCAGCCTCTGCTCCCTGGAGGGCTCGCTTATCGTTCTGCCCAGTGAAATGCCACCACCTCCCAGCCCCCAAATTCCCGGCACTGGTGGCTTGGTGGCATGCTAGAGCTATAGCATATAGAGCATTTCTCTCCCTGCATACTACTCCATAGTAACTTGGCTTCCGCTTTAACCCCTTCCCCGCCCAGGTAACCCATCTCCCTTCCTCCCCGCTGCCCAGACGGAGGAGGACACACTTACCCAAAGAGAGGGAACAGCGGCCCTCCCCCCCATGCAGGACGCGAGAGAGGCTCCTTAAACCGCGCCCGGAAAGGCACAACAATCCCCGGTGGCGAGGAGGCTCGCTTAGCCAGGCTCCGGCAGCTCGAGTTTCAAACGCCACAAGTCTGTGGCCAGAAGGACGGCGGGGCGCGCCCCCCTCTCCTGCCGCCGCCTCTCCTTTCTCCGAGGCGACCGCGGCTGTAATTTCCACTCGGGGCCCCCGCGGCAAGGCGCGCGCTCTTCTTCCTCCTCCTCCTCCCCCCGCTGGCCGGGGGTCTCTTCGTGCTCGCGGGCGCCTTCCCTCCTCCCGCCGCGCGCACTTGCTGCTGCTGCTGCTGCTGCCGCTGCCTCCTTCTCCTCTCTCCTCAGCTCGGCTTTGCACAGCCCGCAGCCGGCGTGCACCTGGTGTAAGCAAAGCAGGTCAGCTGACGGGCTGCCTCGCCATTGGCCGCTCGCCGCGCGCCCCCCCCCCCCCCCGCGCGCCCGCTTTTTGCAATACACCCGAGACCCGAGCAGGGCACCATCTGTAGGGGCTGCTAACAAAGGGGGAAGGCGAGGGAGCCTGCTCGAGGGGGCCGCGAGGGGCTTCTGCCCTGCTGCCAGGGCTGCTGTGGGAACGGCGGCGAAGGGTGGGGTGGGCGACAGGCAGCGACAAGAGCCCCCACCCCCACGCGTCTCGCAGACCCCTTTTCACTGGGGCCTGAGCAGGGGGACGGAGCGGGGAGGGAGGCTGCTTCTTTTGGATGCTGAAACCAGGCAGACAATGAGCGCACAAAGGAAACCGCTTCTGCTCGGCGGATTACCCCCCCCCCCCATGGAAGAATGTGCAACACGTTAGCTCGGTCTCTCTGTCTGTATTTGCCTTCTTCTGAGCAGGTGGAATTGTAGGGCATTTGGCACTTCCCCTTTCAGTGTCTGCACCAAAGAGGTGTTTCCTATACATGGGTAGCAAGTCCCATTGAACTCAGTGGCGCTTGTGGCCAAGTAGACAGGGTTGCGATGTTGCCTTTGTGTGCGCATCTGGCCCTCCTTTTAGGTCAAGGCTTAAGGGTAGGCAATATTTTTAAAATGTTGAAAGCAAAGCAATCTGACAAAACCAAATAGAAACAACATCAGAGTGTGGGTGCCCGCAATAAAAAGCATGGTGGAATCTACCAGATCCATCCATCCATCTATCTATCTATCATCTATCTATATCTACTTTAGGAAGTGCTTAAAGGCTAAAGAGAAGAGGGGGGGTAACTAAAGTTCTCAGGGGAGAATGGTGGGGCCACTTCTAAAAAGACCCTTTCGTTGGTTTCTGCCAACCTTAAAAGGTAAAGGACCCCTGCCAGTTAAGTTCAGTCGCAAATGACTCTGGGGTTGTGGTGCTCATCTTGCTTTACTGGCCGAGGGAGCCAAAGTCCGCAGACAGTTTTTCCAGGTCATGTGGCCAGCATGACTAAGCTGCTTCTGGTGAAACCAGAGCAGCACACGGAAACGCCATATACCTTCCCGTCGGAGTGGTACCTATTTATCTATTTGCACTTTGACATGCTTTCGAACTGCTAGGCTGGCAGGAGCAGGGACCAAGCAACCTTAGGACCGTAAGAGCCCTGCTGGATCAGGCAGATGGTCCACATAGTCCGGCATCCTGTTTGCACAGTGGCCAACCAGATGCAAATGGGAAACTCATAAGCAGGACTCACTCAAGTGCAAAAGCATCTGTGAGTCTCAGAAACCAATTTCTTGCCTCATCATTCTTTGTGGTACTGCCTAAAGCAGAACCACCCCTTCAGCCACACTCTCCCCACTTGCGATGCCCAGAAACTTGTGTTCAAAGAGAGGAATAGTGATGTTGCTCTTGCCCTCTGCTCCTACCCTGCACTCTTCCCCTCCTTGTTTAGGCCGCTGGGGTGTCTGCATAAATATAGGGCGTGCACTGCAGTAATGTGCAATGCAGTAATGATTGCTGTGCATTCAGCCTATTAATAAATTCTTCCACAGTTGCCTGTCTATAAATGTTTTTGCTTGCTTGCTTGACTACACATATCAATGTTAGTCATTTGTGAAAAGGTGTGAAAAACAACATCAACTTTTGTAAAGTTTCGCTGCTTGCATACCTGGAAGCAGTTCTTAACTTAAGTACCTGGCCAGGGATGCAGCTATTCCCAAGTCTAATTTGGCACTAACAATGTGCTTTAGGGGGAAGTGCCATAACTCAGTGGCAGAGCATGTGCTGTGCATGCAGAAAGTCCCAGATTCAATCCCCAACATCTCTGTTTAGGACTGGGAATGTCCTGTCTGAAACCTCATGTGATGGCCTGGGAATTGGATTCAGAGGCTGAACCTGAGGAATCCCAGCCTGCACAGGAGTCCCCACCTCCAGGGCCGGCTAAGCCGGGGCTGGGGCTTGAACCTGAAGGGCCCTCACCTGTGCCGGATCCTCAGGAGCAGACACCAGCTGAATCCGCTCTGGCTCCAATCGAGGACCCATTGCCTGCAGGTGCGCCTCTCTCAGCCCTGTCAGGGGAAGGTGAGGTTGCCTCTGGGTCCAGTAACCCTCCAGCCTCTCCGGAGCTACAGAGGCTCAGGGCAGAGAGGCGGAGGGAACTAAGTTCTTGCAGGAGGAGTGCTCACCTTAAGGCCAGGAGAGGCGGGTCAGCTGTGGGCCGGGACCGCCCTATGCCTCAGAGGAGATAAAGGCCAGTCAGCCCAGACCCAGGTTGCGGGAGCAACATCATTGGTATCCTGTTCCTGCCGGCACCCTGACCTGCTCTCCTGAGTTCCTGACCATGCCCAACTCCTTGCTTTGGACCTCACTACCCCCCTGATGGACAGCCTCCTTACCCTCGACCTAGGACCGGACTTAAACCACACTGCATAGTAACCCCCCTCCCGGGACCAGCACACCTCAGGGAGCCACTGCCAATCACTGTTAAGGTAAGGTAAGGACCCCTGGATGGTTAAGTCCAGTCAAAGGCTACTATAGGGTTGTGGCACTCATCTCGCTTTCAGGCCGAGGGAGCCGGTGATTGTCCACAGACAGCTTTCCGGGTCATGTGGCCAGCATGACTTAACTGCTTCTGATGCAACGGAACACCGTGATGGAAACCAGAGTGCACAAAAATGCCATTTACCTTCCCGCTGCAGTGGTACCTATTTATCTACTTTCACTGGTGTGCTTTCAAACTGCTAGGTTGACAGGAGCTGAGACAGAGCAACGGGAGCACACCATGTCGTGGGGATTCGAACCGCCAACCTTCTGATCGGCAAGCTCAAGAGGCTCAGTGGTTTAGACCACAGCGCCACCTGTGTCCCAATCACTGTAGACAAAACTGGATGGACAAAGGGAGTTTTCTATGTTCTCTCATTAATTTATTTAAAATATTACTAGTTCACCTCACCACATGCTTGTAGTGGTTTACAACAAGAGAAGGAATCTCAGCAACAAATGACTAAAACCTTATCAACTATAAAAACAAATATATAATTACAGGTTTGTGGGTGCCCTGCCACCCTCTAGGTTTCTGGGTGCTGAGGTAATCAAGCGCTGCTGGGAAGGAGGTCAAGGAGCAGAACTCCATGCAGGGACTGAAGGGCAAAAGCTATTGCGGCCCGACTGGAACAGGCTGTTACAAAGAGGCTATGAACGATGCTAGCTTCTGCTTTGAATCCGTGGTTCAGGACAATGCTTGCCTGCCTGTTTGGATAGGTTGCTGCTGCGGAAGCTGGCTCCTTTTGGACTGTGAATGCTGTACACCCTTCCATCCTACAGGCAGCAATCATTTTGTGCACATTTGATTGCTGCACAACAGTTGACGTGTGCACTGTTTTCGGCCCCAGAAGGGGGCAGAACAGACTTATGCGCACACTGCTGATGCACATGATGATCCAGAATGCAACCCTCACACAAACGGGGAGTTGCCTGTATATGTGTGTATAAAGACACCATAGTCTCCAAAGGAAACACAAACCCTGGTTAAATGCCAAGACCTTTGGAATCTCACACTGCTCAGGGATTGGGGTGGTTTGTAACAATATTGTATAAAAGCACTAAAATTAGCTAAAGAGGTTAGCTAAAGGGCCAATCTATTTGCTATGATAAACACACATCTTAAAACCTGCTTAAAACACGTTTTCATGCCAGATCAGGGGCCCTCACCAATTTCCTGCTGAAAATTCTTCCCCTCTGTTTCTGCCCACTGGCTGCTGTTTGCTCGCAATGGATGAGTAAATACTACTTTGGGGGGCAAATAGCAGCCTGGGGATGATTTTTAGCAGGACCCTACAGTTTTTTCTTCCAAATAAAAGTGGCCAGTTTCACTGTGCTTTTAAAATGTGTGCTTATTATAATGTGTAGCGTGGCTCTCAGTGTCACCAGGCCAATACTTAAAAGGCAAAATGCTCCTACTAGTCCAATATTACCATTCATTACTTGCTTCTTTAGAGGTTTGCAAAAGTTCACAAGGACAGAAGAGTGAGGGTACGGCACTGGGCTGGAAGGTGGTTGCCCAAATGATGGGGGTGGGGGAGACGCTTCTTTATCTTTCAGTCCTGTGCTGCAAGGCTGTAGCGCAGCAAGGGAAGTGAGAGGAGAGACCCGTCTCAGCAATACAGACTCTTTCCCTCCCCCCTGTCCACTCCCTAGTATATGAGGAAAGGAGGAGGGCTGCTCTGTAGCCTACAAAAGAGACTGCAAAGTTACATGCATAGCCCTACTGAAAGTAGCAGCATCAACCAGGAAATCCTAAACCAGTGTCAGCAATAATTCAGCAGTGTAGGAAGGCTAGCCTATAATGACAAAAATTGTGTAAACCAAGTGGACCTTGTATTGTTTCCTAAAGGCTAAAGTAAATATTAATATGCAAACCAGTAACAAGAGATTATTCAATAATTTAGGGCTGCAGCTGATAAAGCCCCACTCCTGGTTGTGGATGTTGTGACTTTCCCAAAAGAGGAAATGTTCAATAATGCTCTATACAATTACTTTAAGTGGTGAAGGAAGGTTCATAATATTACTGGGCATATACAAGACACAGGAGTTATTTGGTCCATGCCTGGAAGACATCCAAACCAGCGCTATTTTTCTAGAAAAAGAGGTGTGGGATCTCACCACGAACCCCTCTTGCTCTCTTAGAATGACAATGGGGCCCATCTGAGAGGTCTGGCAAGTTCCGGATTGAAAAAAAGCCTTGCAGGTGATGCAAAATGGTAGCTTTCGCAGAAACCTGAGGAATTCAATGTTTTAATGTTTATAAATGTCACACACTGTTATCTTTCAAAAGCATGATTATGGTGTACCAAAAGATTTGAATGGTGTATTGATTTGAAGGCCATCAATTCAGCACACTTCACAGTCCCCTAATTCACTAACCCCTGAGCCTACAATTTTAAAATTAATCAAACTTATTTTTTTGAAA